GTGACCACATGTGATGGGTGTGACCACATGTGATGGGTGTGACCACATGTGATGGGTGTGACCACATGTGATGGGTGTGACCACATGTGATGGGTGTGACCACATGTGATGGGTGTGACTTCTCCTGCCACTTACTTGTTGCGTAGGCTGATGTTCTCGGGTTTGAACACTTCCTGATAGGCCGTCTTGTTGTTGATAATCAGATCCAGCCGATGCACCGTCTCCACCACGGCCCTGCCGGATCAGAACATGATATTGGGTCAGCAAAGCCCCCCTCCGGACAAATACTCACCCCCTGCTAGGCCGGTCCCCTACAGACCCCTCCCCTTATGGATCCAGAGAGGACCAATGCTATTGGACAGTCAATAGAAGGTGTCCAAGTCATGCCGGCAGCAACATGGCCACCCAAAGAGGGACCCCGCCTCATGTAAACAATAGAGGGAAGACTGAAGTGTCATGTGACCATGGCTTCCTGAAAACATCACAGCACACTTCCTCAGTATTTCTCTCAAGAGCCAATAGCCCTGATACAAGCAGTGGGAGGAGTTATGCAAATAGCAAAATGCCTTGACTGGTGCATGTCAGTCTGGAGGAGTGGCCGGTCCTAGGCAGGCTGTATTTGGATGCAGACTGATGTAGGTAATGCCCACATGGGATGTTGATCCTCCATGACTGAAATGCAATGAATGAAAGGGGCGGGGCCAGGGACAGTCAGACTGGGGAGGAAAGTTCTACATGATGATGGACATTCTCCAGACAGGAAATGAGGCGGGCTCTATCTGACTTGCTGCGGCTTCTAATGCACGTTGCGAGACGATCCCAGTGTGCAGTGAAATGTCTGGTTGTGTTTAAATGTCCCAAGAATGAGGTGCCTGTGCTGCCCATAGCAACATGCCGCTCCCCTTATTCTCTCCTGCACCAGTGCAGGATGACCACAAGCCCCTCCCCTTATTCTGTCTGGTGCAGGGTGGTCACAACAGGACAGCCCGTAGCTGCCCATGGCATAAAGTCCCTCCCCTTATTCTGTCCAGTGCAGAATAACCACAAGAGGGCAATCCATGGCTGCCATAGCAACAAGCCCCTCCCCTTATTTTATCCAGCTTAGGATGACCACAAGAGGACAGTCCATGGCTGCTCATAGCAAGAAGCCCCTCCCCTATTCTGTCACAAGAGGATAGTCCCCACAAGACCCTCCTATTTTCCTCTCCAGCACAAGACCACAAGGGGACAGTCTATAGCAACAAGCCCCTCCCCTTATTCGCGAAAGGTTGCTAGGGGATACAACCCCACAGGTGAGCCCCCAATACCCCTCTCCCTGTGGGCTCTCTTACCGGTACAGCCTCTTGGTGTGCAGCACCTTGGCCTCGGGCTCGCCCTCAGCTGTCCCCTGACTCATCTTTTTTTTCTTCTGTCTTCTTCCTTCTCCTCTCAGTAGCAGAAACACCGAACCACCACATCCCCCGCCATGTTGCCTGTCACTTTCCCCAGGGGAGGAGTCTCGCGAGAGCTGCCACTCCGAGATCCTGCCGGAGGAGGAGGGACAGATTCCGTGAGTGACGTCACGGAGAAGTAGGAAGCTGGAGAATGAGGGCGGGGCTCGGTCTCGGCATGTGAACGTTGAGGCATGCAGATTAGCGGGTCACGTGACGCGGCTTCGAAGCAGAAGGCGGGAAAGTGCAGGTTCTGTCAGAGAGCCAGGCTTCCCAAAGAGAACCTGTCAGTGTCACCACTAGTAATGTCAATGTAAAGTCACCCTGTGCCTGATAAATAATTGTTAGATATCGCCATGAAGTGAACTTGTTATTAAGGAATAAATGTCCTAAATTTAAGATAACTTTAAATATAATATATGGCCCTCATCATGTAAAGTAATGTGGCGGAGTGGCCTTCACCAATGGGTACACTCAAGCCTGATGTAGATTAATATAGTTCCTGATGTTGTGGTGGTATTGGAACACAAGGACATTGCAGCTCGCGTATATCCTGTGACAGTGACAACTACTCCCTTTATTTTGTATCATGTCACAGAGGCAGGAAGTGAGATGAAACTATCCTCTCATGTGGTCACTGATAACAATAGAAACTATTTACTCTTCCCAATACAAAATGGTGACCCTGGGACAACAGTTGTCACCAAAACAGGTGTCTGCATTGGATTCCTCCTCACTTCCTGTAAGCAACAGGCATAGACAACCTCCAGCTGTGCAATAACTACAAATCCCAGAGCATGCCTCTGGGAGCCATAACTGGGGCTGCCACAGTCCAGCAATGCCTCGTGGGACTTGTAGTTCCACAACAGCTGGAGTGCCGAGGTCCCATCACTTTCTGACAATGGTCACCAGGACAGACCCTACGGGGACACAGGAAGCAATTCAACTAAAATAAATACAAGTTTTGGCTTTAATGGGCATATCTATAAAGAAGTGAATCTGGCCTTCACCAAACATTCACTGCAGGTTAATCTTCTAGGTGTATGCATTTTAAATGAAAGCAATTGATTCACCACAGTGAATGTTTGATGAGGTCACATTCACTGCTTTATACATGTTCACCTTAAGTGTTAGGTTCAGTGTTCACAGTTAATGTGTTAGGTTAAAGTATTTGAAGATCAAATTCATGCTCCTCCGCTGTCCGGGACCCGGGGCCCCCTGAGGCTGTCCCAGGATGTGAACAGAATCCCGCAGTATGTTCCTCAACAAGGGAACCCAGAACTGGAGATCTAATGGAGACAGTTTGAGAGTCCAACACCTTTTTATTAATTGAATGAGGTCACATATGACAACACACATCAGCCGATGCATTTCGCTCCTCCTTCTTCGGGGCTTAAACATGATGAGCTGTAACATGGGCTCAAAGCTATCACAGTCACCCGGCATTCATTATTGGATGTACAGGGTATGGCCAGAATCAGTCAATAGGCAAAGCAAAATCAGCTTGGCCCAGTGGTCCCCTATCTACTTCTATAGTGGATAGCTTGGCCTAGTGGCCTCCCTCTCACTTCTTTGGTCCAGTGGCCTCTCATCTACTTCTATAGTGGACAGCTTGGCCTAGGGGTCTCCCTTTCACTTCTTTGGTTGGCAACTTGGTCCTGTAGCCCCCATCTACTTCTATAATGGACAGCTTGGCCTAGTGGCCTCCCTCTCACTTCTTTGGTGGACACCTTGGTCCAGTGACCTCTCATCTACTTCTATAGTGGACAGCTTGGCCTATTGGCCTCCCTCTCCCTTCTTTGGTTGGCAACTTGGTCCAGTAGCCCCCATCTACTTCTCTAGTGAACAGCTTGGCCTAGTAGCCTCCCTCTCGCTTCTTTGGTGGACAGCTTGGACCAGGCGGCCTCCTAGTCACTTCAAAGGTATACAGCTTGCATTAGTGGCCTCCTCACTTCCGCTTGGACCAGCATCCACCAATTCACTTCTTTGTTAGACAGCTTTGCTGAGTGGCCTCCTATCCACCTCTATGGCAAACACCTTGGCCTAGTGGCCTCCCTTTAATTTCTATGTTGGATAGCTTTACCCCGCTGCCCCCTGTTCATTTTTATGGTGGACAACTTGGCCCAGCAGTCTCCCATTTAATTCTATGGTGTGCAGCTTAGTCCAGCGCCCTCCCATCCACTTCTAAGGGGGACAGCTTTGTCCAGCGGCTTCCCATCCACTTCTAAGGTGAAAAACTTGGTCCAGCAGCCTCCCATCCACTTCTAAGGGGGGCATGTTGGCCCATTGGCCTCCTATTCACTTTTATGGTGGACAGTTTGGCCCAGCAGCTGCTCATTCACTCTTATGGTGGACAGGTTGGCCCAGCAGCCTCCACTTTATTTATTTGGTGAACAGCTTGGGCCAGCAGCCTCCTATACACTTCTAAGGTGGACAGCTTGGCTCAGCGGCTGCTTTTTCACTTCTATGGTGAACAGCTTGGGCCAGCAGCCTCCCACCCACCTCTGTGGTGGATGGTTTGGCCCTGCAGTTGCTCATTCACATCTATGGTGGGCTGCGGTATTCTCTTGACATACAGAAAGCTCAGAAAGGACCTCACTGTTGTGTAGTTAGGCCCAGTAAACAAGCCTGAGGCAGGGAGGTGACACGGGAAGCTGTAGACTTTGAGTAGTGATGTCACCCATTACTAGAATGGAATGTGGCACAGGTGGGTGAATCATAGTAGGTGGCATGTATTTCTTCTGTATATTTCAGCCTTCTGGCTGGGGCCTGGCAGTGCTTTTTCTGACGGGGCCCTGTCCTAGCTGGAAGAGATCCCTGTCCTTGTTTGCTCGGTGTGACACAACCCTCTCACACCCTCCTTAAGGTGGAGCCAAGTCAACACGGTGAGATAACACTATCACCAGCCACACTTTGGTTGGTCACCGTCAGGACAAAGTAAGAAAAAGGTCAACAAAGCTCAGATCTCTAGGGAACAGGGCCGAGCGCGAAACAACTGGCTCGTCAATCGGGCCCCTTCATGCCTTTCCATTTTGGTGCGTTGTATTAAGGCAGCCAATCCTTTTAAATGGTCTGCCAACGCACAACAACCCACTGCAGAGCATCACCTGGCCTTGTGGTATCTCATAGGGGACCCAAGAGGGCCATTCAGACCAGTAACTTTAGTTTCTACTGGGATGTCACCCAACTGTGCTTGATCATCTTCTGCCCTGGCTTCTCTATCTGGAGAATGACAGCTCAGAAACTGGAAGTGATGCAATCAGCGTCGCTTCCGGGTCCATTCAGCATGGAGGTTATCAGCGAATGGATATTTGCTGTTCTCTCTACTTTCTGACACCCGCAATGCCGGTACTGGGTCCACAGGAGGGGCATCAGAGCTTAGGAAACAATGCAGGGGGTGTCAGGCGGGGGCACAAGGAGAGAGAGCAGCAGTGAGCGGTCTTTATTACAGGAGGGGGCAGAGACAAGACCAGTCACCCTGCACAAGGAGAGAGCAACAGTGACTGGTCTTTATTCAGGAGGGGGCGGAGACAAGACCAGTCACCCTGCACAAGCAGAGAGAGCAGCAGTGAGCGGTCTTTATTACAGGAGGGGGCAGAGACAAGACCAGTCACCCTGCACAAGGAGAGAGCAACAGTGACTGGTCTTTATTCAGGATAGGGCGGAGACAAGACCAGTCACCCTGCACAAGCAGAGAGAGCAGCAGTGAGCGGTCTTTATTACAAGAAGCTGCAAGTGTCACACTGGATTACTGCACAGATCTGGAAGAAATACTCATAGCTCACCAAGATTCAAGGAAGAATGCCTGATGGGACTTGTAGTCCCACCACAGCTGGAGGGCCGAGGCTGTCTACCCCCGTCTATAGGAATCTTATGGGTCTCATATTTAGAAATATTTTTAGTAGAAGTCGATTGTTTGGTAACTTATTTATGTTTTAATACAAATATTTTTCTTCGTCTCTGTACAGCTGTGCCGTTGTTGTGCTGAAATGTTATTCGGCTGTCGGGACAGATGGTCACTTGGACAAGTAAGACATTTC